TAACAAGCACATAATGTCTTGCATAATGCAGTTTGAGAAAATATTAAGATGATAAGGAGTTGGCCAAATGTTGATCACCAAACAGGGATGGAGCACTCCCTCCTTGAGTTTTGTAACAAGAAGAAAGGGGAATGAGATTGGAGAAATATACGCATTATTGGTGCTTCATTCAGGTCGTCATAATCTCAAGTTGATAAGAGGGCATCCAAGAAGTATTGTGCACAAGAAGGAGTATACCGAATTCATCGCAACAATCCAATAATGAAGACTCAAGGCATCTAATGTAATGGCCATAATATAGAGTACATATTTCCAGCTCTTTGAAAAGAAGAGGGAAGTCATGCTCCCATTACTCTCTGGAATCCTTTCGCTATTGCAAAACCAGGGAGGAGAGAGTGTTTAGAAACATTGTGGTTATGTGCAGTCCAAATCACTAAAAAGAAAGAGGATACATACATATCCAAAGACGATGTTGAGGAAGAAGTAGGAGAAAGAAGAGAAATGTGCATGAGGGAATGGGTAAGAGGTGAACAATACCTAAACTACCTTGCCACAAAAGCAAAGCCACCAACCTCATCACCAAATGATAAGTAAGATTTGAGGTGAAGGAAGTAGGGAGACCCCAGGACTAGAAAGAAGAAAAAACAAACACCAGAAATACCTTGAGAGAAGGCATATGCCAAAAACAACAGAAAGAATAAACATGAAGACAAATCGAAAGAATAAACTTTCATAAACAACAAATATGCATAACTGCAAAACAATGAAAGTTAAAAATGCACTCAGAAGAAGATAAAAACCAATTGGGTCATGCATTTTCACAGTCAAGTTTGCAACATGAAAGAGGGAACACAGATTTGTAATGTTACTATTGAAAAGCGCAATGACTACAGAAATGTTATGGAAACTAGAGCAGTCCATAAAATTGATAATATTGTGAAGCAAAGCATGAATTTTCAAGAACTTCAGTTTAGCTCAAAAAAGAAAAATGACCTTGCAAGAGACTAGTACAATATGGAAGAGGGCTCAATAAAAGTGCAAACGATCGAGCAAAGGTTCAATTGACAAAGAAGTCCACTTAGTCATCAAGGACATCATGACACTATCCTACGAACAGTTGATAAATCATCCCCCAATCACTTTGAACATAGAGATGAAGAACAATGTCACAAGTCTTTGAAGTGTAACATGTTAAGTGGAGTCCCCACTGATGCAGGGAAAAAAATAATAAACAGAAAAATAAAAAATAAAATAAAAAAAGTTTAGAGATTATACCCTCTCTCCGGGTTTGCAAGGAAGTCCACCCCAAGATCTTTTTACAACATCAAACTATTTCTTTATTCTCCAATCACTCTATCCCACTTTTTGTCTCTCCACCAATCCAAAATCTCTTTCTTTCTTTTTTTACTTTCTTAATGCCTATCAACCCATTATGAGATAACAACTCAATCCCCATAAAAATAGAAACTATATCTTGCATAAAAACCTAAAATAAATATCCTAACTAACTCCCCTAGAAACTTCCTATATTGCCCCTTAAATCTCTACAAGGAAGAAAAGGCAAAAATAACCTTACACAAAATCTAAAAATCGCAAAATAAAAATAATCACTGCATCATTCTCCCGGGGTTGGAAGAAGATCAATCTCGAGCTTGTTGAACTCAAATCTTTTAGAGGCTTTCTCAAAAGCTGATAATGTAGTTCTAATGTTCTTTTGGATACTTTTTCCTTTTCAAATAAACAACTGATCCAACACGATTTGTATTGGAACTCTTAGATACTGAATCTAGACTACTAAATTGAATATTGATCTTTCCTTCAGCATAAGGTTGGATTTCAAATACTGCATCACACATATTTTCGTCTACATGATTGATTTTCGAAACTTCTTGGATTTTTAGGTTATTAACATCATCTTCTGCACTGAGATCTACCTCTTCATATTCATGTTCCTCTTGTTGTAATCTACGAAGACGATCTTGTAGATATTGTTGTATTTCTCTGTGAAGGTCTTCCATGTGTCTCTCAAATTGTTCATCCAATTGCTCAAATATTTGATCAAATCTATCCAAACCCTCCATATGGTGCATGGATCTTCGATTACAAGGCTCTAATACTGACTAGTGCATGGAAAAAATAATAACAGAAAAATTAAAATAAAAAAAAGTTAAGAGATTATACCGTATCTCTGGGTCTGCAAAAGAGTCCACCCCATGATCTTTTCACAAGATCAAACTCTTTCTTTATTCTCTAATCACTCTCTCCCACTTTTTGTCTATCTACCTCTCTCTAAAAATCATGTAACTCATGTCCCAATCCAAAATCTCTTTCTTTACTTTTTTTTCCTTTCTTAATGCCTATCAACACATTAAGAGATAACAACTCAATCCCCACAAAAATAGAAACTATATCTTGCATAAAAATCTGAAATAATATCCTAACGAACTCCCCTAGAAAATTTCTTATATTGCCCCTTAAATCTCTACAATGAAGAAAAGACAAAAATAACCCTACACAAAATCGCAAAATAAGAAATAAAAAGTAAGAAAAAAACCCACTGCATCACCCACTTTTTATTCCCTTATAAAAAATCCAAGCAAAGAAAAACATGTCACTATGTGGAAAGAACAGATCCTATAAACAAACTAAACCATGGAAAACATATGTCACAATGTTAAAAGAACATATCCCCACCAGATTGGTTACTGTCCATCGTACAACGGTCAGTCCAGTCATCATTATAATACTGATCCATGATTCATTATGTATAAAGAGGTGGGAAATCCAACCTATGTACCATAGTTAAGTGCTTCAATATGTCTTGATGTCCTCTGGATCAGTTTGGGGAAGGCCGACTTTGTGCTCAAAGAGAAGACACAGTGATACCCTTAATACATTTGGCATATTCTTCCTACTCAAATTTTTTAAAAAAAAGAAACGAAAAATCTTATGCTCATTTTCCTTTTGCCCCAAACGTTCTCTCGTATGACTTCTCTTCATTATTCTCCTCATGCTTCATAAGGTAACAAGTCTCAACCATTCTCTCCTTTCATTACTCCTTAAAATGTTGAACTCATGAGCTTACTACTAAACTCCAACTCTTCTTTGGCCCTAACTATGTCAGACTTACCCTATTAAGTTGTGCCTCCAAATTCACTAGTAGCCAAAAAACTACTACTAAACTCCAACTCTTCTTTGGCCCTAACTATGTCAGACTTACCCTATTAAAGTGCATGCCATAATGACTAGAAATTACTTTGGACAACGTTTCATTGAAGTCCTACATGGATTATCAAGCCTTATCGTGTCCTTTCAGCTGGCGGATGGATGTGGACCTGACTAGCAAGTTAGCAACACCATCACCCTTTGGAAATTTAGAAGCCCCTAGTTACACAGTCACCTCCAATGTTATCTGAGATGACGACAAGAGTGCACATCAAAGTCCATAGGCAAGGCAATTTTATCATCCAAATTAATCAGCAATGGACCGACATCATGCAATCCTAAATGCAATTGGCGGATTTGTCCTCGTAAACTAAACATCTTCAAACAAAAGGGAAACAGATTAAGTCAAGTAACACATACTCAGAGAAATGTCTCATTAAAAGATACATTAAAAATTGGAAACAAATTTCGGTTTACATGTTTTGGAGGTTGGACAAACAAAAATTGCAATATTTGGGATAGGAATTGTATCCCTAGCCTTGGGCAAGAGCATCACATAGTGTTAAACCTTTCTGGCATGAGTTGTTTAATTGTGCATCAAGGTCTACTCTTAACATCCCTGTTTAATATATGTTGAAAACTAGTCTCATATCCATGACCAATGATCTATCAATATTAAGGCTCAAAACCGCAACATCAGCTTCTCCTTTATTCACGTGCCATACCTTCTACAACTCTGACTAGTCTAAACTATCTTTCCACCCGAAGCTTAAAACATCGCCACTAGGTCACTTATCCCTCCTACCCAAATGTCTAATATGGAGTACATTCTCCATCTTATTGGAACTAAATGCATGTAAGAAACCATTAATGGGGTCAGATATAAACACATTCTTCACATTTTTAAAGAATGTGTTTATATCAGACCCCATTAATGGTTTCTTACATGCATTTAGTTCCAAATTGATGAGTTTGAATGAGGGAATGGGGTAAGGGGTTGATGGAACAATCAAGGGACAACTGAGTTGAGCAAATATGGTAGGTGTCCCCGACTTCCACCATAGAGGTAGGGGATAGCACAGGGAGCATTCCATTCTTGGGACCTTCTTCTCAGTTGATGTTATCTAAGTCTCTACAGTATTATGGCTTATAAGACAATTTTCACACAAAAAAAGGAAAAAAAAAAAAAGGGTCTCTTAAAACAGACCCCATTCATGTCGCAAGAATGGATGCAATGAATCATTGCCTTCTCCATGAAAACAGTATTGCTCATAAGAATGGCAATGTGAGGAGTCATCAACCTTGTCTATCACTAGGCTCATGAAACCCTTTACCATGTTATCTATTCCTTTAAAATATTATTCTTTTTGATGAAAAATATAACATGTAAACCTTTAAAAAAAATAAATATTTCGAACATCATTGCCAATATTAAGCCTGTTACCAATTTCTTTAGAATTCAAATCACTATCACCAACAATATGACCGATATTTATTTGAGAACAGACACCTACTTTGACAAACCTCCTCGTACAATCTCAAAGCTCATATAATCTTACTTGATGGGCGACACTAGGCAGGAAACTCAATGGAACTCGGATAAGACTACTGAATGTTAATGGATCACAAGTTTTCATATATGTCATTTAGACTACAGATTTAATGGATCATAAGCTTTCATATATGCCATTTCTTTTCACCAAGTAATCACCCGTACACACAAGCACATACATTTTGTGCAACATCTAGCTACTACAAGCCTAAAAAATTGCAGTGTAGCCATAGAGGGCGCAAATCAAAGTCCAACACCAACAAGGAGCAAGTTAGCCACAGTAGGAAGTAAACTGTACCAAATTGCAAAAGAACCATTATAAAAACATAGAAGTCATACCCCAAAATGCATCAAGTTAAAGAAAAGTGGGAAACACTACTCCCCATTATCTAAAAGTATTACAAATCAAGTGACATCACAACTGTTGGCTATGGATAAGACCCACAAATGAGGAAAAATCTTACAATTCCTACTTAATAGAAGTCTTGCTTGTCTTCCTTTTGAGGGTTGGGGGCTGGATCTTAGGCTTCGGATTGAGATCAGCCTCCTTGCTTGCCAACCAGTTGAGTGGGTGGTGATTGAAGAAGGGCCAGTCAGGAACAGTGATCAACATGGTTAGAACTGTACCCCCTGCGTAAATGAGGAGCATGTTTCGAAAGGAGTCCATCATGTAACCAGTGGAGAACGCCACAACGGCAAACATCACCAGCATAATCTGCATCAGATGCTCTGATAGCTTCTGCCCCTCCCAATCCATCTAAAAAATTGGAAGAGGATTAGTATTTTTTAATGCAAAAATAGTAATAATAATAATAATAATAAGATAGAAGCACATTTCGTGCAATAAGATCTTTGTGGAGAATTCATTAGTATTCAGTTCAAAACTTACAGATCAAAGAGAAAGACATGATTATGAAATATTCAACAAAACTTTGAAATAACAGTTTAAAGTTTACACAAATGAAGAAAAGGGAAAGTGATTTTGTTACAGGTAAAAGGGCAAAAAAGATTCAAATATAGATGCATACAGAAGACTAGAAATCAACTAGTTCCATAAAACTTAGCAATGAATTACCAATCAAAACAAAAAAAGAAAAGAAAAAAAAAAGAAACTAATGAATTGATACAAAACCTAGTATTTTGGATTGAGAACATGCAGACAATAAAGGGATTAATTTTACCCAGATATGTCGTAATAGATGTAACCAGATATGCCGTAATAGACCCAGAAACAAAATGTTCATCATAAATTATTGCGTATAAACCCTTCAAGCTGGTGCCTAGGTTTCAAGAACCAAGTCCCAGACGTTGAGGATGATAACCAAAAGGAAAAATCTTACACTAGTTACAGATAATATAAATTTGATCCACATTTAGGTAATAATTACAGGGTAAATAAACAGCTAAAAAAAAAAAAAGGAGGGACTACACATCCACAGAGTGATCATATAGATACCACAATAATCGACTTCACATCATCCAAGACCCACAGATTATCCAGACCAAGATAATACTCCCAACTATCGCTACATATAAAAGCTAGAAATCATATTCTTGATTAAACAACTAGATAAATAAACACTAGGTTCAGTCTCTCTGTGTAATGAGCGTTGGAAACCGGATTTGAATGAACAAGTGTGAAAGGCCAATGACATTAATTAACTGTAAAATGGAAAACATGCCACAAATTCTATGAGGCACTAGCAATTGAGAGCAAAACTTGGAGGAAAGCGCGACAAACACCATGAAAGCTTACAGGAAAAAAGAACCCCAAAAACGAAGCAGAAAAATCAAGAAATTGAACAAACAATGCAAAAGAGAAGTGGTTTCTTGAAACCTTTTTGTTGGAACTTTGCCAATGAACCGTGGAAACAGGTTAAGTGCTCGTCTTTTGAGCTTCTTCTGTGACTTAAATAAGAAACGTGCGACTATGCGGCCGTTTATTCTTATAGTGCACGTAGTCAAGGCGGAACGTTATTACGCCCAAAAGACGGACAGCTACATCGGTCCGCCATCCTCTGTTCTTTTCCTCATGAAAATTTGTTTCATGTGGGCTAGACCGCATTTCTACATTACGTGGTCCTGTGGTATAAATGGTCCAAATGTTGTTTTTAATAGAATTATTATTTTAAATTTTTAAAAATTATTTATTTTTTCAAATTCATGATTTCCATATTAGAGATTACGTATCCTAACCGTATTCTTCTCTCATTACATCTCAAAAATAGATTTTTAAGAGGTGATTCATTTCTACATGAACTTATAAAAACCGTGTCCTTCTCTTGACTGCATAAATCCATTTTGTCCCAAATTTAGCATACAATTCTTCTAGACTTACAAGACATATGACAGTAGAAAATGAATTCTTCAGGACTCACAAAAGATCTCGCACAAAATGAAATTCGGAAAGAGTGTGTGACAATGCTCCCTTGGGAGCATGACACATGAAGTCCTTCAACCAAAAAGAATACCTAGGAGGATTCTTTTATAGGAAGACATGTACACCCCCCTTAAAAAGTTAATCCCACATACACCTTCGATCATATGGAAAACTCATGGACCCCCACCATTTTAAAAATGCATACGGCCAATCCCCTGCTCCCTTCTCATCCTTGCCAAGCTATATGTCTTAGTTTTCTATATTTAATTCTCTGGTAGTTTTGAGAAAAAAGCCCACTCTTTCCCTCTTTCTCACCATGTTTTCTCTTTACTTCTCACTTTTAGGTGGCCTCCTATCTTTTCCGGTCAAAAAAAACATCACCAAATCAATCCAAAAACCATCTCATCTTCCTTCTCCTTTTTCTATACCCTTCAATCCTGCTCTCTCTAAAATGTAAATGTCTAAGTCATTTTTTATTGAAAGACCACATGCGATCTTTTTGCTAGATAGTACAAATTTTTTTTTTAATGATAATAAACATCTTATTTATATTTTGGCAAATGGATCACTTACAGATGGTTTTATTACAATTAATAAATATTTCAAAATAAAACAGCACAACAATAAATAAAACTCAACCACTTGATATCATTTTTACAACTTAATACTATGCTTGAGAATATAAAATAAAAGAGCAAGAAAGTAAAAGAGAAGATGACGGAGATTACTTCAACCGGACTTATTACACCCTACACCAAGTCACCACATCTAATGGCGAGGAAGCAACAGTCTAGATTCAATCTCGTACCAGAAAAGCTAATTTCGTCCAAACTAGGTAACTACTCATAAATCCCTACAAAACCCTAAGTCCAAAATAATTAGGTTCAAACCCTAATTTTTCCATCCCTTAGATTATATTAGGTCAGGAGAGAGAGGGAGAGTCTCTAGGGTTGGGGTGTGCCCCTTTAGGAGAGAGAGTTGAGAGAGAAAGTCAGAGAGGAGAGAGAAGGGCGTAACCCCTAGGGAGGAGGGAGAGAGAGAGTTTATGGGTGAAAGAGAAGTGTACCTTGATGGGAAGAAAAGCACCCTTATTTATAGTAAAATTTAGGTTTAGGTTTTCTTTAGGGTTTCCCATAGTTTGTCTCTTCCTTACGATTGAATATGGACCGTTGATCAAGGTGACTTATGGAGTGAGATATCTGAGCCATCCATTCTATAGATGGGCCATTAACATTATGGAATGTGCATGAACCATTATCTCCTTTTTTTTAAACCATTTTTCATTAATATATTTAAATAAATTAAATCTATTAAAATATTATGAATTCCATAAAACTGCATAATCCATCTTATATATTCCATAAGAATAAATTAAATTTTATCAAGGTAATATATATTTTCAATAATCAAGATAAGATATGGTCAATATTTTCTAATCAATATTTGACCATATACTACAAGATAGCGCTACCATATTGTCACACCCCAAGAATTTACAATATTGTTATTCCTGAGATGTGACAGACAAAACATATATACATCTATTGATAGGACAAATTTACAGTGGCGATGTCTTACAAAGTAAATAAAGAAAG